CTGCATTTCCCCTTAAGAGTCCCCTATGCCACCCCAAAAGAAAAAAGCCCTAATTGACATGAGTTTTTAAAATAAATTAATATAAATCAATTTTGCTTTAAGAAGTTGAAAGGACTGGACACACCCTGAGTCTGCCCAACCCGCTTTGGCAGTGGCAACCTACAGCAGTAAAAGGCAAGGCAGCAACGGGATGAATTGCTATGGAATTAGCTGCCAGGCCCCAATATCCAAATTGGGACCTGAGGTATTGGGGTCCACCTGCCAGACTCCCGCATCAAAATGGCAAGTGCCCACTTGACTATGTTCTCCACAGTCTCCCTATCAGCTGCAGCCTTAGATGTGAGACAACTGTATTTTGTCACAAGCCCTCTTTGAAACACCTTAATTGCCTCTAGAGAGGCCCTCAAATGCTTTTTGAAATCATGCTAACTACCCGATACCCCAGCATCTGTCCTGCCCTGAATTCTTGAGCATTCTTGGCTTTTAGGTTCACCTTCGACCGACCCACGCTGGCCTACACTCGGGGCGAGCCATGCCCAACCACAGAGTTCTCCTGGAGGCCATCCAACAGGGCGGCCAGGGTGCCTTCACACATGCCACAGGGGCTAGGCTTTTAAGAGGACATCTTAGTTAGGAAAACATTAATAACAACAACAAAATAACCCTCGGGCTGTATATAATTGTAGATACCCATTTCATTATAAATAAATGGAAGAAGTAAAATGGTTATGAGAAATGTTCCCTTCATGCAGTGTTTGTATGCTCCTGGAAGTCTTTTTTTTTTTTTCCTCTCATTTTGGTAAAGACCAAGATATCTCAATAGCAACATAAACACCATATTGTCTACTAGTTACTATAGCAACTGCTATCCGTGTAATTTGCTCATGCCTAAATTAAAGCTGCCTAGGGTAGCTTTAACTTGCATCTCTCACATATGACTTTTCAATGGTGTTTTTCTTTAGTGAGAATTGTGTCTCTTAAATTGTAGGCAGCGTGCTGTACCACTCTACTTTACCTGGAGCCAACTTTTGCCATTACCTGACTTTGTTTCCCCCATGACTTTTAGGTATGCATCAAAGAGAGAACATGCTTTCTTAATGGTATATGGTATATATATGGTATATATACTAGTATTATATAGTGGCATATTAATATATATGTGGTATGCCACCCAGGAGAGTGGAGGAGGGGGATGAAGGAGAAAAGCTTTCCATCTGAAAAGAACATAAGCATCTGCCCAGCAATGAACTTCACTGCTCCTGAACTCATCAATTCTTTCCTACCTCTTCACTCAACACAATGCAAAAGGCAAACCTGAAAACGGGCGTGATGGAAAGAGGAACAGAGATGCACTAAAGAAAAAGGCACAACGTTTAACCCTCTCTTCTCCAGCATCCTTCCCTCAGCCCTACAAAATAAACAAGTCAAGAAGTTCTTCAATTCTGTGACTGTAGGCAATGTGGTGAATGAATGCTTCTAAATGCTAGCACTGGATAAATGAGTTCATTGTTGAGAAAGTTCTGGACGAGCCGGTAGCCAAGTCTTATCAGCTCTGTTACATATCCTTGCTTGTGTCCACTGTGGGATTGGGCTGGGAGAGGAAAGGTGTCGTGAAGCAAACCATTAAATACACCCACCTTTGCAAAATATTGCCTTTCAAACTTAAGATCTATTATGCTTTCCTTAAAGATCCCCAAATTTTCAGGGGCACTACCAAGATACGCAGCAAGTTTCTCAAAAACCACATTGGCATCCATTGTGCCTACCATTCTGGCCCACCATTTCTGGGTGGGCCAGAGACGCTTACCATGACTCAATGACTTTTCAACCAATAAATAGGCACCTGGAATGAAACCAAGATGGACTCCTTAGAAGAAACATCAGGATCACTGTCCAACATCGTAACCCTCAGGACAGACAGTGTGAGAGTCTCTAAGTGGAGGTTTGCGGGGCTTTCGAAGGGCTCCAGGTTTGGGTGTGGGCAACCTGCTAGGTTTTAAAGGTGCGGGAACAGTGTGGGAAACCTTTAATATTTTCATACGCGTTCCTGAAGTCTTTCCAGTGTCAACGATTCCCGTGCCGCATTTATTAAATAGGATCCTCTTCGCAAACACTGTTTCATAGTCTTCCTTTTCTCCTGCAAAGCACTATCGAAACCCGAGTGCACGTTGTGTCAGCCGTTCGGAAGCTGGGCGCCAGGCAGCAAAGCACCGCGCGCCTCCAGCTGCAGCCCACCCTCCCGTTTGCCACTTTAATCCTCCAGACTTCAGCCATTTCCCATTTGGCCCTTCACATCATCTCGGACTAATCCGTCAAACATTTCAGACAGCCGAGCCAATCTCTGATTGCTGAGGACTTTGCCACAAGCACTATGTCTGTTAATAAGATTTTCATTTGGAAAGATGCCAGGGTGTCCGTGTTTTCTATCGTATATAAATACTAAGATTTAACGGCTTCGGGTTTTGTTTAATGTTAACGTCAACTATTAAGAAAAAAAAAATAGAAAGTCCTCAAATGCCTGGCCTGACAGTGAAATGCCCCACCGAGAGCTATTTTGCAAGGGTAATGTTGTGGGAACAACATCCATCTTCGCAACAGCTTCATTAGCCCCATCTAGCTGACCTCTCCACATAATGTTGTCAAATGTGACGGGCATCAGATTATTGGGAATATGGAGATCAATAAATATGCAACACCGGCGCGTAGAATGCTTCTGGCACCAGAGCCATACAAATGCCATCTACCATGGCTCACACTTGCTGTCATCTGTCACACCAGCTAGTAAATAGACAAGCTTAAGGGGAAGGCTAGCCGTAATGGTAAAATATATGGGGGACGATGAATTAGACAGGGAGTGTGTAGTCAGGGTTCTGATGCATGACGGGTCCAAATGAAAAACACCAGGCAAACGCTCCGGAACAAGAGCCTGCCTTCTTTGGGCAATCGATGCAAATTCTTGCCGCCTGGCCAAAAGCTGCTCTGTGGTCCGGCTTCTGTGTTTTTGATGTCAGCCACCAAGGGAGTTCTGGCTGCATCTGGGAGGCTTGCTAAAAACTTGGAGTCTCTCGAGTATACCATGAGACAGCCAGACCACCCACTCCTGGCAAATTCCTGTGCGTGTCAACCATACCGTGTCATTCCCTGCGATCTCCACCCAAGGCCCCCCAAAAACGTGCCTACCTTGTCCAGTTACGTTAGCCTCAAATGCCTACACTTTCGGGTCCGCAAAAGAGCAACCGGGTTAACCGCTAAAGACACTTCGGGTGCCCCTAAGTTGCTGGTGGTCCCTAAGTTGCCCAGATAATCAGACCTTTGGAAACCACCTCTGACGACAAGTTCTCTGTCGGGCCACCCCATCAAAGGTGTCTGTACGCTGCCCGCCCACCCTGCCAGGAGCCAAATACCACTACCCACTCTCTGCACACATCACCGCCCAGAGAACCCAGCCGCAGGCCTGTGGTCTGCCCGCAACAGTGTTTTCCAGATTCCCCAGAGAGGGCACCCTGGTTCATAAACCCTCCTCCCCTCCCCAAAGTACCTGAGCCCAGCCACGTCCACCTTTAAGTAAAAGAAACTTAAATAAAAGCAAATTCTCGAAACAGCAAGCACGGAGGATGTAAGCCACGCTTAGGCATATCCGTAGATGCCCTGGGCCGGAATGGCCACGTTCCCCCAACCCGATTAATGTCGACGACCAACGATGACCAACATGCATCCAGCCCTCTACGTATTAAGAAATGTCACTCATCTCTATGGAAAAGAGAACAAACAAGAAGCATAAAGGTATTTTTGAAGTATACTGTTCTGAAGGTACTTGGCTAGTAATCTGCAGCCTAGGTACACACCATACCTTTTAGCACGGCTATTTACCTCTGAGGGAGAATGCTGCCGTACTTACGATAAAGGCTGTTGGACCTCTTCATCAATAGCAAACCTTTAAGCACAGCACATCTCATAAATAGGAGTTCCACTAACACAGACTTCAAAAGGCTAGAACTTGATAATTCAGAAATAGAGCTATATTAAGTGTTCCAGCAGTCCATCCATAAAAGCCGTCGTATATTCTAAATGCCAGAGTCCTCCGAGCAACATGACAGGTCTATTAGAATAATAGCAGGGGAAAGCATAATTACAAGTAATCACTGGCTGGAAAGGAGCTAGTTGTTTTTGTAGAGCAAAATGCCGCTCTGAGTCCCGCGGAAAATGCAGCCTGAGCCTCAGCGGCGAGGGCAGATAACCATCGAAAATAACCATGGCGCAAGTCCAGCGCTATTTATTTCTATTTATTAAGAACTCTTTGTATACCTTAATGTTTTCCTGGTGAAATCATCTTAATTTGAGCCCACATTTTCTTTGGATAAGATTATTATGTAATTGCTACTTAGAACCAGCCACTATTTTCTATACATTTGTTGGTCAAACAGTTAGGGTGTCTGTCTTTTCCAGCCTGACAGAGAAGATCATTCCGTCAAGCCGCAGCTCCTGGTTGGCTCCATGGAACCATACTGAGTTATCACCATGAGCGCCCCCACCCCAAGAAGACAAAGAAAGCTCGGCAAAGCATTAACTTTTTAATCCCTAGCCTAATGACTGTGACCATAAAAAGGGACAGGGCTGTTTCGTCCTTCGGGGTGGCAGAGGGTGAGGCATCTGGGGGCCTTAGGGATGTTCCCTTACAGATGGCACTGTAGCTGATGCCTGAAACTCCCATCTACCTAGCAGCTTTGGTTTACCTTCCTCCTTAGCTAGAAGGATTCTCTACCCTGGTCAAGCACTTTGAAGGTTCCAAAATGCAGGGGGGTAACAGACCCCATCTGAGCCTTGTCAAGCTCAGAAGGGAGCTGGGGGAGGGGGGATATTGGCTCCACTTTGCAGATGTGCAAGTTGAGACTCTGGAAGGGAAGGGCCTCCCTAGAAGTCCCACGGTGGAGGATCTTCCCACTCCACCATCCTGCCCTGACAACAGGCTTACTTGACCGCTGATTCTCCAGCTCACTTACTTTATGGGATGTGCCAGGGAACGTGAAAGCCACGTCGTGCGTAGTGCTGTTGTACAAGAGCCAACCGAGTCTCGACACACTGAAACGGGCCCCGTGCTCGGCCTCCAGTCTCCAGGAAGATGGTGCAGAGGCTCACACCTGACACGGAAGGCAGCCGTGCTCCCTGCACAGAGAGAGACACAACCAAGTCAGACTCACCTAACTTGTATTGATTTATGGACAGGGGACCACAAGTGGAGGGAGCTGGCGGGTAAGGGGAGTAGACGGTGGGGAGAGAGAGACTGAAATCTAATTTTTAGCCCCAGCCATGGGAAAAATGCACCTCTGGTGACTCCACCTAAGAATCGCAGGTAGAGTGGATGTGGGACACGTGGGACAGACAGTGGGGAGCCAGTGAAGTGGACTTGGAACTCCAGGTCCTTCACTGACTTTCCAGCCATCTGAATCTGGGCCATTGATGTAACCGTTTTGAGCCTTGACGTCCTCATCTGGAGAACGGGAGTAACAATACCACCTGCCTCACAGGGCTGTTGTCACAGCAGGAGACAACCAAGCACAGGGCATGGCACACAGGAAGGGAGTGACCCACACTCCCCAGTTCTTAAGCCTCCTGGAGGCTTCGGGAGCCTAGCTAATCCTTCAAGGCTAGGGGGCAGTTCTCCAAAAAGCTAATACTCCAGACCTTGTCACAGTGGTCCAGAAACTCAACCGGCCTCCTGCCAGGGGCTCATTTTTAATAAAACCTTGATAGAAGACCCTGTTGGAGCTCTGTTTTGTTGGCACATCTGCTTCTCACATAGACTCAAAGCAATATCGTGGGAGGCAGGACTTAAAAGTTTTTGGGATTCAGGGGCGCCTGGATGGCTCAGTCGGTTGAGCGTCCCACTCTTGATTTCAGCTCAGGTCATGATCTCAGGGTTGTGAGATCAAGCCCCACATTGGGCTCTGCATGGGGTGTGGAAACTGCTTAAGATTCTCTCTCTCCCTCTGTCCCTCCCCATCCCACCCCAAAAAAAGTCTTTGGGATTCAGTAGCATATCAATGTTGCTTACAAAGTTATAATATGCACTCCTTCCTCCCACTCAAAACATTCAGGTTCAAAATTAATTTGGTTTTGAGATAGCAACACCAGGATTTCATCAAAGCAAGGTCAGAAATCCCAGGCCAGTGGATATACTTTCAAATTTAGGCTCTTAAAGAATTTCAGCTTGTCCAAGACCAGATCTTCACCCCCTCTTATGGAATAAAGCTCCCATGATGCTCAGCAAGACCATATCAAGACAAGACTTCAAGAAAGAGGATGACAATGACGATGGTGGTGGCACTGATGTGAGGGTGACCATGATGACCATGGAAGCGAGGAGAAGATTAGGCGCAAGGCTGGTCTCGAACAAAGGATCCAGCTAGGCAAAGAAAGCCAATCCATCAGTTCACATCGGTGTGAGTCATAAACCCTGGACCTCAGTTGAGTCCATTGGTTCACTCAAAGTCCTGAGACCCGAGGCAGTGAGTGCACTTGCCTCCGGCTTCTGGCTAGACTAGCTGCGGATCTTCAAACTCAGAAGTCTAGCAAAAGGTTTTACTCTGGAGAAGATTATCAGCCCCCAACATTAACTACCTTAAGCATATCTTGGGCTTGGAAAACACACACACAGAAGTTACCCCAAGTGAGCATGAGTCTGCAGTCATGTTATAGATGCACACACCTCTGTTTTCCTGAACACCACACGTGTCCCTGCCACTCATTCCATGGCAACTGGCTCATAGCCTGGCCCTCCCCTCCTTGGCCCCACTATTGGGTTTGTAGGACGATTTCTGAAATCACCTCTTGAAGGAAAGCCTCATTACCCAGTGACATGTTGCAATCCCAGCCACTGCTTCCAGAAAAGTTTCAATGTCCATTACATTAGCTAGCCTTAAAATTGAATACAAATCCATTTTAATCAATATGTTGTAATAAATAGATATTAAGGCATCACAGCACTAATGTACAGGTAGACTAATTAAAGCGCTAGCATGTGCAGCACTCACATACCCCAATTTTCTCTACAAAATCCTTATTGAACCGCTACTTTAAAAAAAAATAATTGCATTTGCAATTAGAAACACTGAAGTTACATTATCGATTTTCTGCTAAAAACCTTTTTAGTAAACAAGCACAAACTACATTCATTAAATGTAAGTGCTTGGAGCTATGGTGTGAAATTCAATTCAGCCATTATCATGAATTACACTGATTATTGCTATAATTATTTTCTCTTGGATACAACTGCATTTCTGTCCCTTGCTAGTTCTGTTGGACATATAACCATGTTCATTTTATAGCTAATAATACTCAACTGTAGTCCCAGCAATTACTATCACTTATACAAATCATTAAGTTAAGCTACGGGTACCTAGTAAGATTCAAAAAAATTAAGTAAAACATCCTTTTTTACCCTTGAAATAACTAATAGCATTAAAGAACAAGGAAAATTACAGATGTTAACTGATTTACGTTGCAAGCTTTAATCAACTGTACTTGACTTGTCAGAAATTTCTGCTGTCCTAAACACACATTTTGAGAAGAAATCCTCCAACAGAGGGGTTTTTTTGGGGGGGAGGGGGGCCTGGGTGTTTTGTTTTTGTTTTTTTACAAATGAATAGTCGATGGGCTGGATTCTGTGTCTGCAGCATTCTCAGGGAGTAAAAAAGCCATGATCATTTGGTGTGTTGTAAGAAAATAGATTCTGTACTTTAATCAGATCCCCAAAAATGGCTTTGCATTTTCTGTGTGTGTTTGTTTAGGAATCTTATTAACTAAACAGATTATAAGAGAGAAAACTCACCTTTACTTTCTCTTCCAGAGGCAGCTCTAGCTTTATACAGTTGTTAAAGTGAACCCTCGAGAGGAAAAAGGTATTTTCAAAGGAGACTTCCCTTTCTCCCCTGGGGCGAGGGCATTGCATGGATGGGGCAAGGGTAGACCTGTCTGGGCAATATTCCCTCAAAGCAGATGTGGTCTCTGGGGGTCCTGATGAGGAACACCCTCCATAGGAAAACTGGTGGGGTAGAAAGAGGGAGGGGAGGGATGGGGGAGAAGACAGGGATGTTTTCAAATTTGTGTGTACATGTGTGTACATGGAAATAGAAACAGCATACACGGCTAAGAAAGGGTTTGCAGACTCTGGTCTGCCCACGCCTGCCAGCCTGGAAGGCCCTCATCCCATTTACCAAGGCCACACTCCTGAGCCCCTACACCAGGATGACCTCATTGACAAACAGCAGCAATGCTTCGTCCGGGTAGGTTTAAGAGCCCTCTGGAAAGTGAGCTTCCTGGGCCTCCTTGCTAAGCACGCCTCAACCTCCTTAGCATCTGCCTGTATTTTTTTTACTGCCCTCATCATTGGGCACCAGAGGGCCCAGACCTGGGTGAGGTCCTGGGTGGGGGTGGGGGGAGGGGTCAATGAGGCAGAGCCCCCCAGGTGGGAGCCCTCGACCCCCGGTGGAAGCAGGAGTCAACTTCTCAGGAGCTTCACCGTTTTCTCGGTAGGCACATTTCTGCAACACACTCTACCTACCTCATTCATCTTTTTTAACGTGAAGGGGAGAGGGAGGTGGCCTATAGAGATCCATACACAAAATTTTTACGAATAAGAGAAAAGAAGTTAAGTGGGACTGGCGTGGATTGGAATCCAGAGGTGGGGTTCACACACCTGGCTCAGCACCACAGGGTCCTACAGATTGCTAAAAGCCAGCCACAAGTTTGGCTCAGAGCTTCCTAGCGGCCTAAGCAAAATGGAAAACACAATCTTAGAGACATTAGGCTCACTGTTTCCAAAAGAAGACGTGTCTATTTAGAAATAAGTAAAAATCTTTTAATCTGAAAAGAAAAAGGGAAACAAAATCTGGCGTAAGATTCAGAAACCAAGAATTAAAGGCATCTTTTTAAAAAAGTCAGGTATTACTGCTTTTTTAGATTTTGTTTTTGTTTTCTCCTGTAATATAAACCTCTGAAGAGCATCAGTGGGAACTCTGATGCTGTTTCTAACTATAAAGACGATAAAAAGAAAGAAAATAGGACAAAATTGTGGTGTCGGCACATCTTAAAAGCGGAGAGAGAGCGTGTGTTCACAACACTGCACCGGGTGTAAATTAGCTGATTTATGCCATCGTTCTGGACTAATTAGAATTTTTCCAAAGCAGCTAAGTGAATTTTCTGGCCATTTTTGGTCATTTAAAGTATTAATTGGTATCACGCGTGCAGTACAAAGAAGTCATTTTACAATTCTTAAAAAAAATTGTAAGAATCTTTTTTTTTTTTTTTTAAGACTATTTCTTGCTTCTCTACTATCTGGGAAATTACCTGCAATAACTGAATACAATTTTAAAATAACCAGAAGTCAGAATTTTCAGCACCCTCCTTTTATCAATTTTAAATGAATGGGCATTTTTTTTTTAATTAATGCGATTGATAGTAATGACAGACCTCTATCACAGGAAGCAGTGAAGGGAAGAGACAGGTGCCCCTCTAACACAGGCAGGGTCACATACACGCGTGTCTTGCACCCCCGGTGAAGAAAGGATTTTTTTTTTTTTAAATACTAACAATTTGGCTAGATCTGGTTATCTGTCTGGCTTGGAGTGTTTCCTGGGGAATCACACTGAAGAATTCAACAGGCGGGCTTGGAAAATTCAGAAGAGGGAAAATTAAATTCCTGGAGATAGTCGAGAAGAACTTACTTATAAAGAGCCTTTTCCGCAGGAGCTCAGAAGCGTGTAATCTGACCTTCAAAGTAAAAACGGTTTGTTGCATTAGTTCTGCTCAGCTGACCATGAATACTAATTGCAGGAAGAATTGCGAGCCCAATACCTGGGGGCAGGAACACACAAAAGTAGCCGGGCAAGGCAAACAATGAATAAGGTAAAAACTAGCATCCACACTCCTATTCAACTCCACGTGATCTGCACCAAAACCCAAAATTACAATGAAGCCAGTATCTGCCCCTTGCCCCCCAGAGACTAGAGGAAAGAAGAGAGGCAGCCCTGAGAGACTGGGTTGGGGGTGCGGGGGCGGTAAAAATAATACATGCTTTGGCTCCCATATCTCCTATTCGGCTTTCTCCTTCTACCCCCGCTTCTCCCTCCACTGTGAGGAGAAACTGTTGCAATTCCCGC